ATGTTGCTCAAACGCTTCTCTCTCTCTCTCTCTCTCTCTCTCTCTCTCTCTCTCTCTCTCTCTCTCTCTCTCTCTCTCTCTCTCTCTCTCTCTCTCTCTCTCTCTCTCTCTCTCTCTGTATAAGTATTTTTTCTACCAGGGAGACAGGTATAAAAATACCTGCGTCCCCGTGTAGTGCCAAGGTGCCGCCCTGGTGCCTAGCAGTGGCCGGTGCCACCAGCGGTGCAGGTGACGGCACTGGCACTGATAGGCACCAAGATAACCACCGCCGGTCACAGTACGGTGCTGGGGACGCACCGTAGCTGCAGAGAGAGAGAGAGAGAGAGAGAGAGAGAGAGAGAGAGAGAGAGAGAGAGAGAGAGAGAGAGAGAGAGAGAGAGAGGAAGTAGTTAACAGCGTCTCCAAGACCTGGAGATCTCTCATGAATCCAGAGGGCGTTGATGGTAGTTTTTTTCAATTTTGCCCCGAGGGGCGAGTTTATTGGGCAGCGTCACTCATCTTGTGAGTGGACACACCGCCATAGTGACAGTATTGGGCAGCGCCAGTCATCCTGTGAGTGGACACACCACCATAGTGACAGTATTGGGCAGCGTCACTCATCTTGTGAGTGGACACACCGCCATAGTGACAGTATTGGGCAGCGCCACTCATCCTGTGAGTGGACACACCGCCATAGTGACAGTATTGGGCAGCGTCACTCATCCTGTGAGTGGACACACCGCCATAGTGACAGTATTGGGCAGCGTCACTCATCCTGTGAGTGGACACACCGCCATAGTGACAGTATTGGGCAGCGTCACTCATCCTGCGAGTGGACACACCGCCATAGTGACAGTATTGGGCAGCGCCACTCATCCTGTGAGTGGACACAACCGCCATAGTGACAGTATTGGGCAGCGCCACTCATCCTGTGAGTGGACACACCGCCATAGTGACAGTATTGGGCAGCGCCACTCATCCTGTGAGTGGACACACCGCCATAGTGACAGTATTGGGCAGCGTCACTCATCCTGTGAGTGGACACACCGCCATAGTGACAGTATTGGGCAGCGCCACTCATCCTGTGAGTGGACACACCGCCATAGTGACAGTATTGGGCAGCGTCACTCATCCTGTGAGTGGACACACCGCCATAGTGACAGTATTGGGCAGCGCCACTCATCCTGTGAGTGGACACACCGCCATAGTGACAGTATTGGGCAGCGCCACTCATCTTGTGAGTGGACACACCGCCATAGTGACAGTATTGGGCAGCGCCACTCATCCTGTGAGTGGACACACCGCCATAGCAGCATGTACAACACTTCCCAATAGGAAGAAAACCCGCTGGGTTGTTCATCCTGTCGGTGTTGATGATGTCCGCTTGTATCTGTTGCGTTTCAATTGATCAATTCTGACTTTCAAACTTTTGCAGGCGATGAGTCACAATAACGTGGCTAAAGTATGTTGACCAGACCACACACTAGAAGGTGAAGGGACGACGACGTTTCGGTCTGTCCTGGACCATTCTCAAGTCGATTGTTTCAAACTTTTTTGTCGAATCTGGCCTTAAAGTTGTGGATGGAGGTGGCTTCTACAACTTCTTCTTTCAGTGCATTCCACTTGTTGACCACCCGTACTGGGTACCAGTATTTCCTTATATTCCTTTGATTCATTTGCGTTTCCAGCTTCCACCTGTGTCCTCTTGTTCTGCTTTCTCGCAATCTGAAGAGGCTATCATTGTCCACCTTTATCTATTCTTCTCAGTATTTTGTATGTTGTGATCATATCTCCTCTGGTCTCCCTATGCCCCCCAGAGTTGTGAGATTTAGTTCCATCAGTCCTTCCTCGTAGCTTAACCCTCTTAGCTCTGGCACCAGTCTTGTTGCAAGCGTTTGTACTTTTTAAATTTTGGCTTTATGCTTCATAAGGTGCGGATTTCACGCCGGTGCTGCATATTCCAGTATTGGTCTAACCTATGTTGTGAAGAATGCCTTGAAGGAGTCCTGATTCAGGTTCCTAAACGATGTTCTTAAATTCGCCAGCGTCTCATATGCTGTTGATGTTATCTTGTTTATGTGTGCCTCCGGTGGGAGTGTTAGATACATCCACTCCCAGATCCTTCTCTCTTTCTGAGTCCTGCAGCTGCCTTCCCCGCATGGTGTAGCTCCCTTCTGGTCTCCTCTCTCCCTTTCCCGATCATCATCACCTTACACTTGGTGAGATTGAACTCCAGCAACCATTTGTCTGACCACTCCTAGAGTTTGTCAAGGTCCTCCCTTAAGTTCTTGCAGTCACCCATCTGTTGTGGTGTTTCTTATCAGCTTTCCACCCCCTTAAAAAATTACCATTACCCCCTTCGTTAAATATGCCAATTACCCCTTAGTTAAATATGCCAATTACCCCCTTAGTTAAATTACAACATTACAGGTGCCAAGGGGGGGGGGGATAAAGACCTTGAGCTAACCCGTAGTCACTAGTAGGTAGGCACTCTTAGGTAAGACGGTGGAGGAGGAAGAGGAGGAAGAAGGAGGGGGAAGAGGAGGAAGAAGGAGGAGGAAGAGGAAAGATGAATAGAAAGAAGAGGGACGATTTGGACCAGGGAAGGAGGAGAAGGAGGGGGAAAGAAGAGGCAAGATGAGGAAGAAGGCGGAGGAGGAGGGAAGAAGAAGAAGGAGGAGGAGGGAAGAAGAAGACGTGGAGGAGGAGGCTGAGGCTGAGGAGGAGGAGGAGGAGGGGTCGACGGTGGCGACGCGAGGCGGCAGCGGACACAAGCGCTGGGCCGAGCCCGGCCAGCAGACCTCGCAGCACCAGTACGTCCTCCAGTTTAACCTAACATATAACATATTTTGGCGGCGGTGTTTGCAGCGTATCGATTAAGCCTCGTCCCAGCCCCCGCCCCGGACACAATACCTCCCGCTCGACACCCCATGGAAATACACAAGAGAGAAATATACAGTGTGTGTGGATTCCTGTATGATTTGAAGCGCTGTATCGCCCCAGTGAGATTATAAGATACAGCCAGAAATGGCGTGTTGTACCGGGCCGATCCGCGGCAAAGGTGGAGCAAGCCCCTAAGGACCCACAGCCTACTACGCATTTTTTCAAAATTTTCTGCAAATTATCGACATTTGTGGCGCCTATTGGTCGGGCCTATCGAAGCCTACACAACGTTATATAACTCTTAAAAATCATTGATATTAAAAACAAAAAAATCCAAAAAAAAATTCCACTATAGTTTTCCCTAGTCTATATAGGCCTATAGCCATTGTTTTGAAGGCCATGAAATGCATCACCGCCCCCTCGAAAAGCCTTGTTTGTGCGCCAAGGAAATCACCGAAATTCCTTCGCCTAGGCCTAAACCGGTGATATAGGAATCCGGCAAACCGCGGAATGAACACTGAACACCCAGCATAGGCCTCTACCGGGAATTCAACAGTAATGTAGGCTTACAACCCTGACTAAGCCTATGCCTTCTAGCAAGTCAGAGAACATGATAAATTTAAATGAAAAATTACCGTTCTGATTCACGAAAGTTTTACTGAACCCAACAATTTGGAAAATTATAAAGGGATTACATTTTTCGGGGAGGGGGGGGGGGCGATTTATGGAGGCTGGGAGGCTAACAATAGGCCTATGGTGGTAGGCTGCGGGGGTAGGGGGTGGGGAGGAGGTTGCTGTATCTTTGTGTATTTAATTGTTTCCACAAATTCGCGTTTTTTCCATTAAAAAGTTGTGTTAGGAAGTTGTCTTTAAGTTTGCTTTATTGAGGTACAGTCTAATGGGTGTTCTATTGAGGTACAGTCTAATGGGTGCTCTATAGCGGTACAGTCTAATGGGTGTTCTATAGCGGTACAGTCTAATGGGTGTTCTATAGAGGTACAGTCTAATGGGTGTTCTATAGAGGTACAGTCTAATGGGTGTTCTATTGAGGTACAGTCTAATGGGTGCTCTATAGCGGTACAGTCTAATGGGTGTTCTATAGAGGTACAGTCTAATGGGTGCTCTATAGCGGTACAGTCTAATGGGTGTTCTATAGAGGTACAGTCTAATGGGTGTTCTATAGAGGTACAGTCTAATGGGTGTTCTATAGAGGTACAGTCTAATGGGTGTTCTACAGCGGTAGTCTAATGGGTGCTCTATAGAGGTACAGTCTAATGGGTGCTCTATAGCGGTACAGTCTAATGGGTGTTCTATAGAGGTACAGTCTAATGGGTGCTCTATAGCGGTACAGTCTAATGGGTGTTCTATAGAGGTACAGTCTAATGGGTGTTCAATAGAGGTACAGTCTAATGGGTGTTCTATAGCGGTACAGTCTAATGGGTGTTCTATAGCGGTACAGTCTAATGGGTGTTCTATAGCGGTACAGTCTAATGGGTGTTCTATAGAGGTACAGTCTAATGGGTGTTCTATAGCGGTACAGTCTAATGGGTGTTCTATAGCGGTACAGTCTAATGGGTGTTCTATAGCGGTACAGTCTAATGGGTGTTCTATAGCGGTACAGTCTAATGGGTGTTCTATAGAGGTACAGTCTAATGGGTGTTCTATAGCGGTACAGTCTAATGGGTGTTCTATAGAGGTAGAGTCTAATGGGTGTTCTATAGAGGTAGAGTCTAATGGGTGTTCTATTGAGGTACAGTCTAATGGGTGTTCTATAGAGGTACAGTCTAATGGGTGTTCTATAGAGGTACAGTCTAATGGGTGTTCTATTGAGGTACAGTCTAATGGGTGTTCTATAGAGGTACAGTCTAATGGGTGTTCTATAGAGGTACAGTCTAATGGGTGTTCTATTGAGGTACAGTCTAATGGGTGTTCTATAGAGGTACAGTCTAATGGGTGTTCTATAGAGGTACAGTCTAATGGGTGTTCTATTGAGGTACAGTCTAATGGGTGTTCTATAGAGGTACAGTCTAATGGGTGTTCTATAGAGGTACAGTCTAATGGGTGTTTTATAGAGGTACAGTCTAATGGGTCTGAACTGTGTGTCTGAATTTTCCAGTGTTCTCCTCTTGAGGCTGTACTGTTCATCTGTTCTCCTTATGTTCATCTGTTCTCTTATGGCTGTACTGCTCATCTGTTCTCCTCTTATGGCTGTACTGTTCATCTGTTCTCTCTTCTTATGGCTGTACTGTTCATCTGTTCTCCTCTTATAGCTGTACTGTTCATCTGTTCTCTTCTTATGGCTGTACTGTTCATCTGTTCTCCTCTTATGGCTGTTCTGTTCATCTGTTCTCTTCAGGTGGTTCTGTTCATCTGTTCTCCTCTTCAGGCTGTTCTGTTCATCTGTTCTCTTATGGCTGTTCTGTTCATCTGTTCTCTTATGGCTGTTCTGTTCATCTGTTCTCTTCAAGTGGTTCTGTTCATCTGTTCTCTTATGGCTGTTCTGTTCATCTGTTCTCTTATGGCTGTTCTGTTCATCTGTTCTCTTCAGGTGGCTCTGTTCATCTGTTCTCCTCTTCAGGCTGTTCTGTTCATCTGTTCTCTTAAGACTGTTCTGTTCATCTGTTCTCTTATAGCTGTACTGTTCATCTGTTCTCTTATGGCTGTTCTGTTCATCTGTTCTCCTCTTCAGGCTGTTCTGTTCATCTGTTCTCCTCTTCAGGCTGTTCTGTTCATCTGTTCTCTTAAGACTGTTCTGTTCATCTGTTCTCTTATAGCTGTACTGTTCATCTGTTCTCTTATGGTTGTACTGTTCATCTGTTTTCCTCTTCAGGCTGTTCTGGTTATCTGTTCTCCTCTTCAGGCTGTACTGTTCATCTGTTCTCCTTATGTTCATCTGTTCTCCTCTTAAGCTGTACTGTTCCTCTGTTCTCCTCTTATGGCTGTACTGTTCATCTGTTCTCCTCTTCAGGCTGTTCTGTTCATCTGTTCTCTTCAGGCTGTTCTGTTCATCTGTTCTCCTCTTCAGGCTGTTCTGTTCATCTGTTCTCTTATGGTTGTACTGTTCATCTGTTCTCCTCTTCAGGCTGTACTGTTCATCTGTTCTCTTCAGGCTGTTCTGTTCATCTGTTCTCCTCTTCAGGCTGTTCTGTTCATCTGTTCTTCTCTAATGACTTCTGTTCATCTGTTCTCCTGTTATGGCTGTACTGTTCATCTGTTCTCCTCTTCAAGCTGTATTGTTCATCTGTTCTCTTACAGCTGTTCTGTTCATCTGTTCTCCTCTTATAGCTGTTCTGTATCATCTGTTCTAATGTTATGGCTGTATTGTTCATCTGTTCTCCTGTTCAGGCTGTACTGTTCATCTGTTCTCTTATGGTTGTTCTGTTCATCTGTTCTCCTCTTCAGGCTGTTTTGTTTATCTGTTCTCTTATGCCGGTACTGTTCATCTGTTCTCTTCAGGATGTTCAGATCTGTTCTCCTCTTCAGGCTGAACTGTTCATCTGTTCTCGCTAATCACGCCAAAATTAAAAGCATATATATATATATATATATATATATATATATATATATATTATATAATATAAATATATATATTATATATATATATATATATATATATATATATATATATATATATATATATATATATATATCAAATCATAATACCCCGTTAGAGCCTGAATAAAATTTAATGTTATGTTTTTTTGTCCTAAACTTTCTAGATTGTAAAGATGTGATGAACATATCTTAGTTCTTATAGTGCTATTAATGAGATTATGGGAAAAGATAAGGAAAGGAAAAGGAGCGAGAGAGAGAGAGAGAGAGAGAGAGAGAGAGAGAGAGAGAGAGAGAGAGAGAGAGAGAGAGAGAGAGAGAGAGAGAGAGAGAGAGAGAGAGAGAGAGAGACAGGCAGACACAAAGAGATCTGGGACCAGATTCACGAAGCAATTACGCAAGTACTTACGAACGTGTACATCTTTCTTCAATCTTTGACGGCTTTGGTTACATTTATTAAACAGTTTACAAGCCTGAAAACTTGCCAATCAGCTGTTGTTATTGTTATAAACAGCCTCCTGGTGCTTCGGAGCTCATTAACTGTTCAATAATTGTAAACAAAGCCGCCAAAGATTGAGGAAAGATGTACAGGTTCGTAAGTGCTTGCGTAACTGCTTCGTGAATCCAGGTCCTGGTGGTGCCGGCACATTAGTAAAAAATTAAAAGTACCTAAAGGTTGACGTTTTCTATGCATCGGCCTCAATAGGTTAGGTGATGTAAGGGTTCATACGCTTACGGTTATAAGTTAAACATCTATATTGTGTGCGGTTTACGGGTTATTCATGCCCGTGCCACCTCTTGGGTGGCTTAATCTTTATTGATCAATCAATCTGTGTGCGGTGCGACACATCAAGATAACGGGGTTGTGTATTTTAACACATTTCAGTCCTTCGTATTATTGCTTGAGTCTCCCCTTTATCTTCTCATTTTTTCTCTCTATTCATGTGTAAACCTTTTACTCTATCTCACCCTGTCAGAGTAAGAGAGACAAATGTATGTGCGTGTATATATGTATATGTGTGTGTATGCATGTGTATATAAAGTATATGTGGAAGCTGATCAGAATTACATTTCACCTTTGTAAATGCACATTAATGACACTTTGTAAAAGACACATCAAACACTATATGTAGCATACATAAATCTGTGTATCTATGTATTTTACGTATGTAGCTTAGCCTAGCATTTTAAAAGCACTACAATCACCTTCTGTGGTTGATTGTTCAATAAATCCCTGAACTATATGTTTGACAAATCTCTCACCCTGTCCATGGAGAACAGAAGAAAATGTATATATGCTG